GTGTCAACAGTCAGGTTCCTTGCACTGTCCCCACACCAACAGCAAAAACTCAGCATTTGCCTTCCACAGACATCACAAACATATGCATGATTTTCACCCTGTAAGGGATGCTGGACCCGATTTCCCACAGGTGCTGCTCCCCACCAATAGACTGGAGCCCAGAGGAAGTGTTTTCTTAAAAAAAAAAAGAAAAAGAAAAGGAAGATTGATGCGATGTGCAATGAACCCAGATCGTGAAGACACTTGTCAACAATGCAAGTCAAGATGAATATCAACCTGCCGATGATTATCGATAATCATAATCGTGTCCAGATAGAATGAGATGTGAGAATCATACGCAGACGAGAGAGGGAGGAGGGAGATTAGACTTAGACGAAGAATAAAGACAAATGCCCACTTCTGCTCCGGGCTCCCTCCTCAATCACCACCTCAAATAATCAATAGTCAGAACGGATATCTGAAGTTCTATTACAATGTGCCACGTGGCACGTTAATCAGTCCTCATCAGCGCACTGGTGCAATGTCGACCTCAAGATGACCAGGTACGTGTCCACGATTACCCCACAGTCACGATCTGCTCCTGAAAGACGATGAATCAGAACAGTAGTGCCAGTCATGTAGCCCAGCCACGTCAGCAACAGTATACGTGGCAGCGGCCACGTCAGCAGCAACGCGTGGAAGCTGCCACGTGAGCATGCCCAAAGACAATAGCAAGCCAGCCACCATGCTGAGCCAGCATCGCGTCGCCGTAATCACCCAAGTGCCAACACAAAGCCAGCGTCCAACCAGCGTCGCCTCGTCGAGCCAGCGTTGTCGCCAACGCGTGAAGTCAACATTGACGCAAGACTGAATGAATGTCAAAGTCAGGAAGTCAGCGCTTATGTAGCGTTGACGCGGGGTCTGGACCCCGGATGCTGCATCCCTCAGCCGTCAAGATCTTCGTGCAAATCACGGCCCAGATTGGACTGAAACCGAATTCCCTCTGGCCTTGATGCTATCACGGTTTACTGCATTCCTGCCAACCCATTTTCGAGTTCCATCGCAGAAACAATTAAGACTTCAACCCACGTTCATATGCAGATACAATATCAAGAGCAGTTTCAAGTAATTCTCGTTTACTAAACCATCTGTCCTTGGATGGTGCCTGAGATTTGAAACGTGCCTTGAACTGCTTCTGGGGTCGTCCACATCCACCTGTAGAAAAGTACCCATGCTCTATGATCCTGTCTACTTCATATCCGCCTTCCATGTCTGGCGGAATCATAGAAGGTCTATTTGGGAACTCGTGTCCTTCTACATGGGGTAACAATTTGGACGCATGAAAGACGGGATACGTTTTGAGGTGAGGGGGAAGACGGTCTCTCTGCATCCCCAATTACTTTGAGAACTTCCCAGGGTCCAAAATAGACAGGCATAAGTTTCTAGGACACATTTTCGTCCAATGAAAACTCTTTGGACTTCACCCAGACTAGATCACCTTCCTTGAATGTTGATGGTCGGCGATGCTTGTTAGCTTGTTCAATTATTTGGTCCTGAGCTTTCTTCAGATTATCCTTTACTTTCTTAATGTCTTCTTGAAACAATACCACATATTCCCGGGTCCCTGGAGGTAACCTAAGGAACTGGTCCCGTGTTAGCACATCAATGGGACGCTTAGGTTTCCACCCATTGTGCAGTGCATTAGGCGTACGCCCTGTAGCGGTATGAACACTACTGTTGTATGCACTTGCTATCTTGGGTAATTTCTCGTCCCAATCAATTTGATCGGGTCGCACAAACGGTTCATCTGCTCACTTTGTCCATTCGTTTCAGGGTGTTGCCCTGACGACATGGTCAATCGTGTAATGTATGTTTCCATAAGCTTTTGCCATGGCATACTTGTGAACCTGGCATCACGATCAGATACAATAGAGAGAGGAAAACCATACTCAGTTACCCATCACATCTGAAACTTTTGGACGACAAGTTCTGTTCGCGCTTCTACGGGTAAGGGAATAAACATGGCATATTTAGAGAAACGATCCACAATAACCATTACTTGACTATTGTCGTTCCGACTTTTGGTGAGGCTCATGAAGTCGGTCGAGATATATCGTACCCCTGGCAAATCCTTTACTCTACCACCACGTACTAAAACTACTGAGTGTTCTTGTAAGTTATGTCCAATTCCAGGAATATATGCAGTGACTTCAAAACTTGAGGTAAGACGTACTCTAGCTACTTTTCTTAAGGCAGAGTTTGGCTTTTTAGGTGTAGTAGTGTTAAAGTTGGCAAATTAGTCGTCTAACCTACCACTTTGCAAAACCGTACTGGTTCGCTAGGAATCGATAATGGTTTCAGAAGACCAAGTGGATTCTCATGTGAAGGTTTGTTCGTCTGACACACCAAATAAGTTAGTACATCTTCTTTCAATCACTTCCACTCGAAGCGTTCTCTAACCTCTGCGAAGTTTTCTTGAAACCAAAATGTACTTCAAAGTCGTGACATTCCCCGATCAGCAGACTTTTGATTTCTTCTTGATGAGGAATACACAATCTTTGTTCAGTTTGGTCTAACAAGAAAAGCAAACCATCGGTCACTCTATAGTTGGGAAGTAGAGATAGATCTTTCGCAAGGACATCCATAATAGGCTTCCAAATAGGATCAGTAACATATCCTTGACGAATTTTACCTTTCAAATCACTCCCAACATTCAGGTAAGAGACCAAAGAAATCGCAACGTCTGGACAATGCATCTGCAACCACGTTAGACTTACCTTTGATAATCTTCAATTCAAAATCAAAAGTATTAATGAATGCAGACCAACGTACTCACTTATCAGAGACTATAGGCTGTGTCTTTATCCACTTCAGAGTAGAGTGGTCTGAATACACAGTGATGTGTCTCCCTAACAAGTAGTGCTTCCATGTGTCCAGCGCACAAACTAAGGCATATAGTTCCCTTTCATAGGTGGAGTTGGCGACCTTGTCTAATGGTAGACGTGCAGATATAAACTCAATAGGTCTATAACCATTACCGTCGTTTTGTTGAAGGACTGCGCCAATCACATACTGACTTGCATCAGTAGTAACGATGAAGGGAAGAGACGACGGATCAGCAATTTTCAAAACAGGGTAGTGAGTCAACGCATACTTTACCTTCTTGAAGGAGGACTCACAATCCTTGTCCCACAACCAGATAGTTCCTTTTTTCAATAATCTTCTCACTGGTGCGGCAATTTGTGAGAAGTTCCTTACAAACTTTCTATAGTAGCTTGCCAAACCATGGAAAAATTGTAACTCAGTTACAGACTTAGGTCGTGGCCAATCTCTAATTGCTGATATTTTCTTTTCTTCGGGCCTTAGGCCCTCCTCGTTTACTGTATGTCCAAAGTATAAGACTTCAGACTTAGCGAACTCAGACTTTTTTGGATTTAGCTTGAAGTTGCCTTCCCGCAACTTCCTAATACGAGACGTAAGTGTTTTTCGTGATCTTCTAGTGTCTTACTGTACACTAGAATATCGTCGAGATAGACAATGACAAATGGTCCAACCATTGACGAAATAGTTCATTCATGGATCTCTGAAAGGTCGTTGAGGCGTTAGTCAGTCCGAAAGGCATAACCACGAACTCGTACTGACCATACCTGGTTCGGAACGCAGTCTTGTGTTGATCCACCGGATCCACCTCAATCTGGTGGTATCCAGACTTTAGATCAATCTTACTGAAAAACTTGCAGTCCTGCAACTAGTCCAACAAGTTGTCAATGCGTGGAAGTGGTTCGACGTTCTTAACAGTGATGACATTCAACCCTCTGTAGTCAATACAAAGACGCAACTCACCTTCCTTTTTGGGCACAAATAGGACAGGGGCACCATAAGGAGAGGAGCTAGGGCGAATACATCCTTTTTCAGTTAAGTCCTACAACTACTTTTCGAGTTCCTCAAGTTCCCTAGGAGACATTCGGTAGACAGGGCCCTTGGGAATCTTACTACCAGGAATAATTTCTATTGTGTGCTTGATAACACGTTCAGTTATTCCTGCTTTGCAGATCTTTATACTCCTCCAGGAGTTTCTCAATCGAAGGAGGATAGGAAGTAGAACATTCACCTGCCTCCTTCACTAAGACCATCATTACGTCCTTTTTCAATTTCTTCTTTGAAACCATTGATCAAAATGTTGGGTAACTCATGCAACAGAAAGATACCAGTTCGATTAGTTTCAACTTGGAATGTGCATCCCTTAGTTGCAATATTTTCTCTTTGAACTTGATTTCAGGGTTGGCTTCCTCGTGCCAGTCCATACCCAAAATCAAATCAAAGGGTAAGTTCTTTTCCACAAGAAAAGATACTTCGTGTAGAATCTTTTTACCTTCCTTGGTTCGGAAACGACACTTGACACGATCGACACACTGTGAGATAGTGATCGTGCTTCTGTCTGGCAAAATAGATGTGATAGGTCGAGACAAATCTTTCACTTTCATTCCGAGATGCAACTTGCGGATTGCTTTCTCGAATATGTAGGATCGCGTCGATCCTGAGCCCAATAGTGCACCTACGCGTGTTTGTGCAATCTCTAAATCAGCGATTAATAGGTCACCCTTAAACTTAGATTCCTTAGCCCACAAGCTCCATAGTGCCAGCTCGTCAAGAGAGTCGTCCAGAGAGACAGTGCATAAGACAAGTTCAAGGTGTTCCGGACGATGGGCCGAAGAAAAACCATCCTCTGTCATGCGTAGTCAAAGGGTTGAAAAACCATCCTCTGTCATGTGCCTTACCTTTTTCAACATCCAAACCCTTAGACTCAGTAGAAGCAGATGTTACTCCTACTGACTGCTCGCTTTTGGGTTTCGGATTAACGGACACCAAGCAATCACATGCCCTGCAGTGCCACACTTCAGACACTGCGCATTGTCCATCCGTTTCTGCCACGTTTCTTGTGACAGGCCCATCTTTTCCCACGGTCTCCCGACCGCAATTTCGGGATGCTCTGGGAATGAGCGTGGTCTCTTCTTCTTTACCGGCGATCGTGGTCCTCCCTTGTTGACCACGACAGCAGTGACTTCCCCCTTCCCAGACTCACTGCTGCTTGCCACACCCTCGGCCGCCAATGGCCACTTCTCCACAGTATCATCATCAAAGACGACGAGGGTGTGGTCCTGGCGCCAAAAAGTATCCGCTTGCCTGATCATGCACCACCACCAAACTTCACAACAGATGCATACGAATTCTTTACCTGAGAGGTCATTTGCTCCCTCTGGAAAGCAAGATCGCGAAACTGCCTGTAATTATACTTACCGGATTTTGACTCTACCACGAGTTGTCCTCGAATGGGCTCGGGCAGAGCGCGGAAATAGATATATAAGACTTGGTTGTCCTGCAGGTTCAATCCAGGAACCTGCAACAACCGATCAACTTCCCGAGACAAAGCTTCTACCAAGGTCCAATGTTTTTTGACCAATGGTAGTGAGCTGGTCAAAGGCCTTGTTGGTCGCCGTCTTGTCCAACAAGCGTTCCTTAATCTTACCGAGGAACTGCTTTAGGTTCAAGGTTGCAGCCCACTCCCTAATATCACCAAACCCCGCTCCGTTGGCTTCGGCCAAAACACATTCCTTTGCTTCCCCCCCAAGACAAGAAGTAGAGAAAGCAACTTGGGACTCGGGTTCAACAGGGGCCATACTACAATATGTCTGTATCTCAGCAATCCACAACAACAAATTTTCACCCTTGCTATTGCTGAATGTGAAAGGCAATTTCATCTTGACTCTTTCTTTCTTTTTAGCTTTCTCGTGTTGTGTGGTGGTGTCCTTTTTGTCTTCAGGAGACTTCGACGGACTCTAAGGCTCCCCTTTTCTTCCAGTTTCTTTTCTTCCGGTTTCTTTTCGTTCAGTTTCTGAGTCTCTCCATTGAGAGACTTGATAGCATCCCCCATTAATTTCTTTGGTTTTTCTTCTTGTTTTGTTTTGACTTCCTCGACCACCTGATGCTTTCCTTTGACCAGATTGGTGATTGTTCGTAGTCCAGCGGCCACATCATCCATCTGTGTCTGCATCTGTTCACCGTACTGATCAATTTTCATCTCAGAGTCCCGCGGCCATATTATCAATTTGTGCCTGCATCTGTTCACCGTACTGATCAATTTTTATCCCAAGGTGAGCTAAGTAGGTCACAAGTCGAGCCAAAGAAATTTCATGATCTTCTCCTTCGGTCTTAATAACAGTTTGTCCGACGTTTTGGATTTTCTGCTCTTGTTGTCCACTCTTTCTTTCTCAATTCTTCTTTCCTTTTCTTCTCTAGTTATCTGATATTTTCATCCGCAATTTCTTCAAACACAATTATTTCTCTCTCCTCTTTTCGGTCTACAATCCTTCCAAGCTGCTCAATGATATACTTATCAATTGCCTGACGACACTTGATTAGTACATCCTGAACCCGTATGACGTCGATGCCTGTTTTGGCCCGTTCGATAGCACAACTCGTACTGCCTTCAAATCGAACATGTCTTGCACGTATGCCTCGGCTTCGACACCTGCGCCATGAAGGTCAGAAATCAGTTGGTCCAAGTGGGCATTCAAACCCTTCTTCCGCTCGTCCACTTGATGCCAAGTTTGGGGATCAGGGGTCTCCTCATCAATGTCGAAGATGAGTGAGACTGGATAGAAGAGGAAGGGAATAAATCGAGTAAGCACCGATAATTTCAAACAATCCGAGAAGAGAGACATCGTGGTGTACGTCTGCCGCACAATAAATAATCAAATAACAATAATAAATTCCACGACCGCACTATTCTACCACAGCAAGAATTTCAAACAACCAAAGAAGAAAAATAAATACAATTATTTCTAATTCTAACTACTGCTGTTCTTTGCCTGTCTGTGTGATGATGTTCTAATTAAGAGTGCATAGGTACCACCTCAGGCCCGTGTGATCAGATACAACACACAAGTACGCACAACACCACAACACAACAAACGACAAGTAAGTATGCCAACATCAATCAACAAACAATTTGTCAGCAATCTTCTCCTTCTTTTTTCTGCGTCGTTCCTATTGCCAATGCGATACCACACCCCTCTTGACAGTTGGCACTAGAGCTGTCCAATCAGTCTCGTTCTATCAGTCGTACCACCTTCGTCTTCAAGGTGCAACTCTTACTTGGCAGCCACCTGCCTGCCACGTGTCATCCCCGGCGTGCCAACATAGCAAACCTGCCACGTCAGCACATCAGTGTCTAATCAATCAATGTTGGGATGCCACGTCAACAAATGTGTGCTCTGGTCCTTCCCACTTGCCACTTCCTCGCGTCTTGGTGTGATACCGTCGCTGTTCCAGCCAATCAAATCAATGTCACGTCAGCCAATGGAGCCAATGCCATGTCAACATGCTCGCCACGTCAGAAGACAATCGTGTACGACACTTGCCTGCCACATCAGCAATCAGCCTTGATGTCCAAAGGCCACGTCAGCATCTGTATCAGACTTGGTCGCGCCTCAGCTGCTAATGCAGCATGAGAATGCCCCGTCATCAATCTCCAGCAACCAAGTCTCTAGACGTGGCACATGATATGCCACGTCAGCGTGGGATCGCAATGTCGCCTCACTATCGCGATCCTGGCTGGCGGCGCGATCACTCTTGACTACGATCCTGATTGCCACGTCAGCAATCGCGTCGGGATCTGGTCTTCTCGCCACCGAAGTCCGTGCCACATCAGCAACACCGGCCTTCTTCATCGTTGTCCAACATCAGATCTTGTTGTCATCACATCCAACACGCGCGCCACCTGGCGCTTGCGCGTGCTGTCGTCGTCGTCAGGAGTATGCTCCGATACCAAATTGCAATGAACCCAGATCGTGAAGACACTTGTCAACAATGCAAGTCTAGATGAATATCAACCTGCTAATAATTATCAATAATCATAATCGTGTCCAGATAGAATGAGATGTGAGAATCATACATGGACGAGAGAGGGAGGAGGGAGATTGGACTTAGACGAAGAATAAAGACAAATGCCCACTTCTGCTTCGGGCTCCCTCCTTGATCACCACCTCAAATAATCAATACTCTAAACGCATATCTGAAGTTCTATTACAATGTGCCACGTGGCACGTCAATCAGTCCTCATCAACGCACTGGAGCAATGTCGACCTCAAGATGACCAGGTACGTGTCCACGATTACCCCACAGTCATGATCTCCTCATGAGTGACGATGAATTAGAACAGTAGTGTTAGTCACGTAGCCCAGCCACGTCACCAACAATACACATGGCAGCGGCCACGTCAGCAGTAATGCGTGGCAGCTGCCACGTCAGCGTGCCCAGAAGACAATAGCAAACCAGCCACCATGTTGGGCCAGCATCGCGTCGCCGTAATCACCCAAGTGCCAGCACAAAGCCAGCGTCCAACCAGCGTCGCCGCGTCTAGCCAGCGTCGTCGTCAACGCGTGAAGTCAGCATTGATGCAAGACTGAATGAATGTCAAAGTCGGGAAGTCAGCACTTCTGTAGCGTTGAAGTGGGGTCTGGACCCCGGATGCTGCATCCCTCAGCCGTCAAGATCTTAGTGCAAATCACGGCCCAGATTGGCCTGAAACCGGATTCCCTCTGGCCTTGATGCTGTCTGGGTACCTGCACACAACAAGTGAGTGTATCCGACCAAGGGCCTGGGCGCGGTACCTTTGACCTGCCAGTTGACTTAGACTTTTGACTTTCCTAGGGCATTGCGTGGTCACACTGCCTGGTGCAGGCCGAGTTTGGCCTACATCGTCTAAGCTCCATTTCGAGGGCCCAGACTGCTGCACAACACGGGTTACTGCAGATGTACCACATCATGGAGAATTTGCAAGTGTTAATGGTTAGTACCTGGCCTAGTCGGGATGTGAAGGCCTGGCTCCATTTCCCCATTTCGTTAATTTGGTTGGTCAATAGGTTTTGTGCGGTCTGTGGTGCAGGCCTGTCCTTGTTATTTGGATTCCAAGATATCTCATTGGGGATTTCAACGTTTCCCAGTCATGTCTTCTTCCGCGCCAGAGCTGAGGGAAAGGTTCTTCAGATAGCCACCATCCTAGTGTCTTACCCCAATTTATCGTCATCTCCGATGCTAACCTGAATGCTTCCATTGCTCTGACTAGTGCTGCCATGGATTAGTTTGATGCGTATCAACGTCATTAAGTCATCAACTAACATGATTACTATAGGAAACGAGATGTGATGAGAAAAGCCTACATGCATCTCCAACAGTCTTTGGATAGAAGGATCTTCGCATAGAAGAGATGCTATGGCTTCCATAACAAAGAGGAAGATGGGTGGAGCTAGTGGGTTTTCATGTCTTACCTATCTAGAGATCTAGTAGCTTTCTGATAACAGCCCATTGAACAGGACACAGTCGAACGCTTATTTACATAGGACTCTCACCCGTTTTCTGAAATCTCGACCCACACCCAATTTTTCCATGCTAGCGTCTTGGGAGGCCCGGTTTACCTGGTCGTATGCCTTTTCGAAAGAAGAATAGAATCACCGCATTGATTTTCTTTACGGATTCATTAAGAGTCATGAAATTGTGTAGGATATATCATCCTGGTAACAGACCGGATGTCCAGACCGGGTTTCCAGACAGTCCGGAACAACATGTCCAGTGTCCAGTGTCCGATCCTTCTGTCTCAATGACGGCCCCCAGGGCAAAAATCGAAACAAATAAAGGGGCGGCCCAGGACATTTTTTGGGTCCTGGCCGCCCCTTGAAAAATAATGGGGTGATTTTTCAGTGTCGTTTCAAGCAACCAGACAGGACCTAGAGGTCTGGACACAAGACACTGCAGGTTTTTGGGGTGGCGAGTTTCATACTCGTCCGAGCAATTTCAAAACGGCCGTTTCGACATGCCGCCCGC